TGAGCCGTGGCCATCCGCGAGCCAGGATGAGCCGAGGACGCGGCCGGCACTCGGAGCCCATCCGAGGGCCCCGGCTCTTCCCAAAGTCCTCCCGGGGTTGGAGAGGAGCCGGGGGGACCGAGGGGCTCCAGGAACCCCGAGGAGCCCCGGGCAGCGCCGAGGGGCGGCAGCGGGAAAGCTGGAATTGCGACAACGGAAACTGCGCCGCGGAGCGGAGCGGGCGGCCGCGCGGCGGGGAGAAAACAAGGTTTGGTAAGACATAAATTAAGCTCTGGAGAGGTGACCGGTTTATTTAGTGCACTCTGCATCTTATAGAACTTTTCCTTTTTGCTCAGCAGGCAGGAACTGGAAATTAAAAAAAAAAAAAAAAAAAAGAAATTTACGCTTGAAATTTTGCAAACGGCGTCACGGGCCCTGGCCAGCTCTGCAAGGCAGGAGGCGACTCGGGTTTTACTCCTTCCTCCCCAGCCAAGCTCTGCTCTTCTGCACAGGAAGGTTCTCCCCTGCTCAAGATGCATTTTCCAAACTTGCATCTTCATAAAGAGAAATAAACCCAATTCTGGAGGAATCGGAGCTCCTGGCCTCATCCTTTCCCTGGCCTTCAACACTTCAAAACACCATCAGCTCTAATATTAAAAGAACCAGCGCTTGTTTTCGCTTGGAAAGGTCTATTTGGGGAGGAAAAGGGTCAGGAAGTACCTCTGCTTTATTCTCTTAAGTCTTACTGAACGACCAACAGCCCAAACGCTCTGCAGGAGGAGAAAACCCATTGCAAATACTTCCTTAACAACAACAAAAACCTGTTTGCTTATAGAAAGGACACGCTAATGGCTAATGGCACTAATTAGTGCTCAGAGAGCAGAGCTGCTGCCTGGGCCCGACCGGGACCTTTGGGGGACGACGCAAAGGGGGAACCGACAAATCCACTCCCGGCTGCTGCAGTTTCCCCCCCAGGAATAGTTTTATTTTCCTCTAATTCTTAAAACGTTTTGGAATTTACGGCTTATAGAGAGGATACAGACTGCTGGGCGATGCACTCAGCTCTGGGGCATCTTAAGAAGAAAATAAAAATAAAAAAGGACCATTCCCACTGCAAACGAATGGCAAAAGAGATATAAAACCCAAAGAGATCCTTCACAAAAGCCAATTTACTAAGGCTACCATCAAAAGAGAAGTGATGGGGAGCCTGGGAGCCATCGGGGCGGGAGGCAGCCGGCTCCAGGATTTCACATGGAATGGGAAGGGGAAAGGGCAGAGCCCGGCGCGCGCTGCAGAGAAAACCACGGGAACTCCACTCA